TATAAGGAACGCTGCGGGCAAAATGTCGGATACCACTCTACCCAATCTCCTCATACCTGCCAGATTCATCTACCTTCCATTCGCTTGAATCCACATACACGTTATGCAACTCTGGATCCTTGCTACCGCAGTGTTCGGTTTCAGTGCGTGCTGTAACTCTGTTCTACGCACGGTTTGTGGCGCAATACTGAGTCGAGTTTCCAGTGGTTCTAGTTGTGGCGGCCGCTCCAATTCCTTTCAGCCCCCCACTGGACGTGGAAGCTCGAAAGGTGCGTCGTTTCCCCGTAACGGGCCATGTCATCCTTGACCTGCCTTCTTCTACCATAAGGCTACTAATAACGACGCTCGCGCATGCCGTCTGTACACATGCATCTGAGAACCGAACAAAATCTGTAAGACCCCCAAGTTTTGATTCTACATGGCCGGTTTTGATTAGATCATGGGCCAGCGTCATGACGTGTTTGACATGTTGCCACTTTATTCCTCACTTCCTCTACTTTCACCGTTATATCTATTGCACGCCTTCCCCGACATCTATGTATCCGTCATATAGCGTTACTGTGTAACCATAACTATGGGAACAATTTTTTCAATCCACAAACTTGCCTCTGCGGGTGACCCCACTGGGTCTCGATGTCAAATTTCAAGTCGCTGCCCTGAAATGAACTTATATAAGCTTTTCTCCCTGAATTCGGTGGATTCAACCAAAAATGAATATCTCAAAAATTTGGCGCATCAGTTAAAACTTATAATGTGGGCTGGAAGGGGACAAAGAACGGAAACTCACACAGATCAGAGACAACAAATATCGATACGGGGACGAGCCCACACGGCGACGGGGATGTGCGTGACGAGGGCAAAGGACTTGTTTTACATACTCTACATAGGCACAGTTTAAGTGCGGATGCATTGCGGATTCGTACTGGGCCTCTCTGTATTCAAGGGGGAAAAAATACTACGCTGAGCCGCCATCAAGTACACACACCTTCGACGAAAGGATTTCATTTTTGGTACCTAGCGGGTCAATTGGATAGGCGGGGAGCCTGGAATGATATCTCGCGATAGGTGCACTTACTGTAGATCCTTCCAGTGCATCTTAGGTAGCTGTGCTGAATGCCTATCGTAGTCTGCGAATCCTATCATGTAGTATAGAGGAGACATAGCTCATTTGCTCATTACACATGAAAGCTGGTAACATATGTCAATGGAAGCAAATAATACATTTGAGTGTGCAGAGGTGACACCCTCGTCCTATCCCACTAAACATGAGTACACTGACACCACAGTGGTCTGCACTCCAGCCGAGAATAGTGTCGACGTTCCAGCGCACCTGGCAAACGTGCACACCGCTCGCTGCGTCGCCGCACACTCGCGCAAAAAACTCTCACAGAAGGGCGTTCAGTGGGGGACGCAGGATCGAAAATCTCGCGCGCGCGCAGCAGACTCAAATCTCCTGCCCGCATAGTATGTGCGTGCGAGTGCCGACAAGCTCTGGTTCTCCCGCCATAAAACTATTCGGTGCCGAGCGACTTAGCCCCCTGTCCCTCTCATCCGAGCAAAGTGTCATGTGTATGCAAGAATGCCCGCACCGCCAGGTGGCACGTTTGAGATACAGGACGCGGCGCGCACGCTGTCCAGGTTTCGCTTGATGCACCGACGAGGTGCATCGGGGGAGATGGGACCGGTGACGACAGCGGGCGCTGGGATGGTCTGTTTGAGGCCGACACACTGGGGAAGCCCGGGTGAAAGCGAGGAAGTTCTCGACGTGCGCAAACTATGGTTTGGATTTCATCCGAGTCCTTCCGGCAAACCGTAGCAAACGGCTTGAGCTTGGCGCTTGGTGTTTGAATGGATATGAGGAGGAGGCTGGATGAGGAGCGCGAGGCGATCAAGGAAGGCGAGCGCAAGGACTGGGTGTGCGTGGCCGGGGCAAACACATCGCATTTCCAGTCCCCGTCACCTGCGGATCGCGCTGCTCTGCCACAAAATCTAATATGGATCGCACCTCACGAACCCGCGAGACACATACCACGCTCGATTCACTGTTAGAAGTGCACGGCGAAGGGCGGGAGGTAGAACCACGTCCGCGCGCTGAACGCAGCGCAACGTAGTCTCGCTAACGCGGTGCGGCGCACACGGGGTCGGGGCGCACAGACACGGCTCGCGGTGGTTGAGGCGCGTACGCTCCAGCCGAGAGGCCAAGTCGGCGAGTTGGCGCTGAGCACAAGGCCGTCTGCGGCCTGGGCGCGTCAAGGAAGAACGGGCACTTCCGTGCACCAAACCCTCTACACGACATCTGTGCACCGCGCGCCGGATACAGTTGTCGTCGACGCAGAGCCGTGCGTGGAGTCGGGGTGGGTCGGACGGCGCAGCTGCACGTTCCCCAGCACGGGCCACTGGGCGACTTGGGGCCGCAGATCGAAGGCGCGCCCCAGATGTAACTTACAGGTGCGTGCTTCTTGCGTGCTTCGATCCAGCTGCTGCACGCGTGATACCTTGCGTTTTTATTATCTTGATGGGCGATGGTCGACGAACAACAGAGGAGTTGGCTAGGAGGAGGAGGAGGTATATTATACTGACACGGTCCCACAATTGGAACAGTCAGTGATGCTTCTTGCGTGCTTCGATCCAGCTGCTGCACGCGTGATACCTTGCGTTTTTATTATCTTGATGGGCGATGGTTGACGAACAACAGAGGAGTTGGCTAGTGATCAATTCACTCCCGAGAGAGGAGCCAAGAGAGCCAATCTAATGTGTTGACTCGGTAGGCAGCCTTACGACCTGGAGTCTGTCCTTCCGAAAATCCGGTGTGAATCGTCGGGACGAGCACGTAGCTTGGTCAGGTTTAGATCGCGGACTGTGGGGACGAAGCCAAGACGACGAAGCTTGAGATGCATGGAAAGCCTGGGAAAGTCATATGGAACATCATGACAAGAAGATGGTGGTGGTGTAGGTAGTAGGTAGGTAGGTAGGCAGCACGAGCTCATGAACGCCGGTTTCAATGCCGGAGCTTATGGCAAACATGCGCATCATTTTTCCGCATCCATTTCCTTATCTTGACGACGGTCGCGATTGCTCCACGTCCCCACCTTCCGCTCTTGACGAGTCGGGTCCTTTCTACTTCAGCCTTTGTCTCTTCCTGCCTTCAACGCCCTCTTGACGAGCCCCCACTTCCAACCCCCTTATGCCCGCGATGGAAAGCACCATGGACATGCCTCCGACAACACACGCCTTGCCACACACCCAGCGAGCTCGCCTCATGCGCTCGACGCGCAAGCTCGGCGCCCTTCTAGGCGAGACGCCCCACGTCGTCGACTCCGATTCGGCCACCCCGTACTCACGCGGGCACGCCTACACCGCGTCCATGACGTCCGTGAACAGCACCGACTCCTCCGCCTCGAAACGCTCTGGTCGCATCTATGCTTCCGTCTCCTCCGGCACGCGCACCTCCTCCCTCACCGCCGTTGACCCCGCCTCCGTTCCACCCTTGACAGTCGCCGCCGCCACTGGCCACGAACCCCCGCGCCCGCTGCTCCTCCTCCGCCTCCCCTCCCCCGCCTCCCGCCCGACCAGCGCACTCCCCTCCCCGCTCACGCCCACCTTCGCGCCCAACACACCCCCGGCGCACGACGACGCCGGCGAGCGCCGCCGCAAGAAGATGGCCAAGCTCGTGCGCACGCTCGGGCAGAACGTCCCGCCCGAGCTCGTCTTCCCCGCGAACTCCACCAAAATCCGCAGGCGCGCGAGCACGATGAGCGTGCCCGCGCCCGAGTCGCCGCGCACGCTCTCGCATGCGACGTCGTATAGCTCGCTCGCGGCGCCCCCGCCCCGCGCGCCGTCTGTGCTGTCGAACAGCAGCGGCTCGAGCGACGGCGAGTGGGTTGCGGTCGCCCCCGGCCCTGACCGCTCGTTCGAGTACCTGATCCCGCCGCCCGCCTCGCATGGTGGAACGCACCGTCGGGAGCAGGGGTGGAGTGGTGAGTGGGGCGGCGCGGCCGCGGGCATGGGCATGGACGACGTCGTGAAGAGCTTGCGCGGACTGCGCGTGAAGTAGGGGCGTCTCGAGGAGAGAAGATCGGAGGGTCGAACTGCTTTATTGGCAGCTGTAGGTCTTCTCGTCGCAGGTCAAAGGGCGTTAGGTCGAGTTGAGTGGTAATGTCGCTATGGTGTTATAATGGTCAGATTTACAGGTTCAGACATAATGCTAATGTTGTAGGTGTTTAATGGTCGGGGTTTTCCTCTTGGTACACTGCGTGTATACTTACTTCCTTAGTTACCTATTGTGCTAGTAGTTACAATCAGACTTGAATCAAATCATTTTAATGGCTATCCAGTGTCTGACACTAAGGATCTCATTGGAGTCTCATTCAGCAACACAAGACACTCGATAACCTCACGGAGCGCCTGTCCCGCCTCTTGTGCCAGATTTTCTGAATGCCAGCCCAAGAGAAAAATGGCCACTGGATGGTATGGAAATCGAACGACATGGATATCAGCCTGTGAGAGAAAAGGTTAGCACATCTGCAGGGGGAAAAAATAACGGAATCCTCACGTTGCTAGAAAGAGGGGAATCCATCCCCTTGTTCTGTCGGTGAGATTGTCAACAGATGGTGTACTTCTACCGCTAACAACTTAGTACCATGCTGCACATGCTGGCGGTACAGCCCAATGCGTGAAATATCCGGAGAATGAATCCCACAAACTCTGGTAATTGGACATGACAAGGAAAAGCGATCAATGATTGCCCAGGACAAAAAAGTCCGGACTGTCGGACGTAACGGACTGCGCCAGGCCAAAGCGATCAAGATCCTCGCACATAACCGAAGTGTTGTAGGGGTAATATGGAGTTGGTCAGCGGTTTTATGTCGACACAGGACACGCAAAATGTATTCCGTGTCGGGGAATCGAACCCCGGGCTGCCGCGATCATTACGTGATGATATTACGTAAGAAATGGAGGATCGAACGCTGGACTCATCGGCGCGAAAAAGGTTAAAAAAGTTCCGATACGGGGGGTCGAACCCCGGGCTACCGCGAGCAAGTGCTTTAAACCTCACTATGAGAGGCGGTAATGTTACCGCTACACCATGTCGGACACAATGATTGGCAGGTTAGCGTTGGCATGGCTGTGGTCACTATGATGATGGCGCAAGAGACTTGCATGACATCATCGATTGATCGACATTGTCCCCAATTAGGTGATACCCCTGACCTGCCTGTGTAGGGGCCAGTTTTGCTTCAGATTTGAAGAACCCAAACACTAACCACCCCTGCACAGTACACATCCGTGCTCTGCCCACCGCACCACTTTGTCCTATCCCTCCCCACCGTGGCCTCGTTGGACGTGCTCACACAGTACACGACGATGGTCCCAACGATGCATGGGGCATATCCGATCTACACCACTACTATGGTTACAACTAGGCCATGTATTCATCCCCAGAGTCGACTTCTATCACGCCATCATCTGGGTACTCATCTTCCTCTGCTTCTTCCAGTGCCTCCATGTTGCATGCCACTGCCCTACATTTCATCTCCATCTGCACACTGACATTGGAATTGATATATCTCATGCTCTGGTTCTCTTGCACTCTCCCGCACTCAGCATTCACTCTTGCATGTATATACACATGATAGCAGTACATATGCATGCACTGACATACTTAGTTAGGATATATACATACATATGCATGCACACAGTGGACAGACAGCCTTTTGGATCATGGTGTAATGCCCACTATCTTTAGGTAGTGGGTCCTGAAGCACCCCTTTGGTATAGGGCTCTGAGCCAAATTTTCATTTTTGGGTCTCCAGATCGATCCTCGGTGTGGCCTTTTCTTTTCCTTTTTGCATTATTGCATTATTTCTATTTACAGTGGTCCTTAACGCTTCTGCCCAATATGTACAAATTGCTGATTCATTGTTTGTACCAGTGTCCAATCACCTGTAAATTTTTTACTGTCTGCTCCCTCTTCCATCTGCCTACCTCTGTTGTCTGGCACCTTTGGCCCAGGGCCAAGCTTCACTCAACATTACCAATTACTACTGGCAACAAATGTATGCCACATATCCCTACCTATGACTCTGCGCTTCACACTGTGCAGTAGCATGCACGCGAAGGCTTGGCAGGCGCTTGGGCGGATCAGTCATCTGTTTGCATGTGTTTAGGGTAGATTCCTTCTTGCTTTATCCCTTGCACAGCGACATTGCAGGATTCTCTTGCGGCTAGCAACAGACGATCTGGAGTGATTACTCCAACTGGAAGGTTGACAACATCCCCACAATTATCTATTCTAATTGGCACAAGAAGTTTCTGCAAGTCTACACTCTAGAGGATGAGGATGAAGATGAGCACAATAACAAAGATGAAAGCAACAATAATGAAGATTGTGATGCAACCCCTGCCTCACCAACCTGCGACAAGAAAACAGAAGGCAAAATTTTGTGCCCTCATGATTGGCAAAGAAGTCGAAGACAACTCTCATGGATGCTAATGGTGGTACCTTGTCTTGTGGTTCTTCTCCCATCCCCTGTGTGTTGTCTCCTGCCCCCATTCATCATCCTCAGCCATCTCCTGTCCTCTGTGTGATGTTTCCTGTCCCCAGTGCACTGTCTCCCATCTCCTGTCCTCTGTGCAGCATCTCCCATCCCCCGTGTGGTGTCACCCGTCACCCAGGCATTGTCCTCAGTTCCTGGTGTGCCGTCTCCCATCCCCCCTGGATCAACTTCAGTTGCTGGTACACCATCTTCTGCTTTGTCTTCTCACCCTCGTGCCCTATCCCTCACACTGTGTCTCCTGCTCCCTTGTCTGCTTCCTCATCTGCTTCCCATGTGCTTGGCTTCTCTGACTCATTCGGGATCCTTGTTGAATGGTGATCTAGAACACAATGGTAATCCAAGTGCTGAAAATTCCAAGGGGGTCTATGTTCTCCTGGTGGCTCTTGAGCTGGGCCTCCAGTAGCTGCTGGTTCCTCTGTCCTGCTTCAAGTGCACCGCCAAGAGTATCATTTCCTCTTTGGTGTCTGTATTTTTCTCTCCCAGGTAATAACAATCAACAATCCCCTGTAAGTTCTCCAACCACCCACCACACACATTCCACTATTTACTCCATGTATTTTTTTTTTTTACAATATTGCAGTATTTGGTGCAGCATCTGGACCTGAAGGCCATGGTCAGGGCCTTTTTGCAAAAGAAAATACAAGCAAGTTTGGCCAAAACTTTCATTCATGAAAGCCACTGATACATCTGCCAGTGAAAAAATCAACTTCTGCCACTGCACCAAAAGGAAACAAGAAGAGAGTTTCAGAAGAATCCACTTCTGTTGCATATGTCCCCCATGTGCCAACACTGTTACTAACTTTGCCCGATAGAACATGAAAAACACATGACCCTTTGTCCCTGACAAGTTCAAGGTGGTTTTTGTAGCACTCTCACCATCTGAGCACCAGGTATAAAATTGTCATCCACCTGAATATTTGCTGATCATCTTCTAGACATGGGATACACTCAGTGAGACTTGGTCAAAGGCAAAAAAAGTGGTGAAAAAGCAAGCTTCCAAGGCCGCTACTTGATTAGAAGTGTGACTGTATGTGCTGACTGTATGTGTTGCCTTTTGCCTGTATCCACATCCTGACACAGATGCACGGATTTTCTTGGGACTTGTCATGCACAGTGAACTCAAGTTCTCTTTCTGCTTTACATCTTCCAACTGAGAGATCTGTTATCTTCCCATAGCTTAAGATACATTGAAATCAGTACACCATTTGCACCGTTGCACAGCATATTAAAGAACTGACATCTGTGCTTCTAATATTCTTTGATGTGTGGTGTCCCATCTGCAGGGAAATTCATTTTAACCAACTACGGCATGGGGAAGTGGTGAATGGTGGAGGGGGAGGGGAAGGAGGGGTGGGAACAATGTGGTAGGGGGAGCAGGAACGGGAGCAGGGAGTGTGTTAGGTAGTGCTGCTGGCTGTGGTTCAATACCATACAATGCATACAATGTTCCATCGATCTCGTTTGGCACCATTGGACTTATGCAGCTCAAGAAATCCAACGACATTAAGCTGTGGGCCATTTTGACAACTGTGTCAAATTGATATGACCAGATGCACGAGAGCCCATGGGTGCTCGGCCACGTTTGCTGCCACTGGCACACACTTGCTCGCGTGCCCAGCGCTCTGGTCCTGTTTTGTCATCGCCTCAAACATGCCCGCATGCGCGCCGCCCGTGCTCCTGCAGCAGCTTGAGCGCGCCAGGGGCATGCCACTGGACGTGCTGTTCCATTGGAATCGGGACAACTTGTGGAAGGTGCATACAGACAAGGCGCGCAGCGTGCTCATCACGCATTGTCCATGCTGGCGGCGGCTGCACCTTCAAATCTCGACTGCCTATCTCATGCCCACAGCGCAACTGGCCGCAGCTCAGGGAAATGTGCCCCTCCTGCGGGAGCTCGTGTGCAGTGATGAGACTCTACGTTATTTGAAGGACGACTTGCTCGCTGACGCGCCGAACCTGTGCAAAGTCGTCCTGGGCGATTCTGGGAACCATGTGAACGACGTCCCACTTCCGTGGGTGCAGATCACATCCTATACCGCTGCATACTCGGGGCTGGAATATTTCAACACGGTACACATGACACCGAATGTTGTGGAATGTTATATCACCTTTTCCATGAGCTACAGCAACCTCTTTCTGGATCCTGGCACTTCTCTCACTCTTCGTCACCTGCACCGGCTCACCGTCACCAATGACAAGTTCCTGGACTGTCTGGTTGCACCTGCGCTCGAAGAACTTCGCATCGAGGGGGAAATTGACCGCGTGCTCCGCTTCGTGCAATGATCTTCGTGCGTGCTGACACACCTCACGCTCCATGCGTGCTGCAGCAGTGCGCTGGTCATTGATCTCCTGTAGAGCTATGGCTCGATTTCCCTGGCCTTGTGGACACAAATGCCATTATATCCGTGCTGATGATCTGCGATGCTGGGCCCTGTCTCTGCCCCAACCTGATGTCGGTGTTGTGGTGTGATGTGAACCACTCTCTTGACTTCACCGCGTTCGTTGATATGGTGGAGTCATGATGGCAGGTGCATGATGGCTGCTGTTGACCGCTGCGGCACATCACCGTCTATACTGGGCATCGCGTAGCAGGTGTCTGCAGGTGTTAGAAGGGCTGGTGTTTATGACCTTGAATGGCTGGATGGTGAGGCCTGCGATGCAGAAGTGGACCGGATTCTGAGGACTGCAGTAATATATTTGAAGACTGAAGCTGGAGCTTTCTTGATTACGCCAATCCCAACGCAACAGCTCACAGTGAATTGAATATTCAGTGTAGCCTGCTTTGTTTCAATGCCTTGTGCCAAATGCCTGCCATTCTGTGATATTATCTGATGTACAATTGGCACCAAGATGGGTGGTGGCTCCTTGAGGAGGGTTGGTGGGGTCTCGGACAACATGATTTTATGAGTTGGAGAAGACTTTGGAATTGGTATCCCATCACAATGGTTTGAAGGCAATTGCGAATAGAGTCAAAGTCGACCAGGCTTCCTCAGGCACTTTCCTCCTTTGCTTGGCTGCCTGAAATTGTCTCTTATTGCGCTGAATTCCCTGTTTATAACTAGTTGAGTATGTCCACTTTCGATTGTGGCAACGACAAGACAACCGCAAATTGTGTTATGATGACTCGAGAGTCGAGAGACCGTGTAGTGCCGGACTGCAGAGCCACTTGACTCACAACAAAACCACCTTCCTCCTTTTTCACCCCCACTTCTTTGAACTGCCTTTCATTCGTTTTTGCGCTTGCTGCATGTAGCCAAAGACCTGACACTGACGATACCATGGAAGAACTTGTTGTCCTTAAGGCTCAGCCATGATAATGTCCACACCAACCTCCAAACCCAGGCCGAATATTCTCACATCCCTAGAGGCTGCTGTCGGAGTAGCCTGCTTTTAGTGATATGTGGAACCGCTTGGGCATGCTGCACTCCAAAAATGTTCTGGCTGTCACCTTGTGTCTTACTATAACTCATATTTCCCAGGGATTGTCAGAATCGTGGCAGGAGCGGAATACAACAACTATTACAATGTGTCTATTAT